CTCTATCTCTATCTCTATCTCTATCTCTATCTCTATCTCTATCTCTCTCTCTCTCTCTCTCTCTCTCTCTCTCTCTCTCTCTCTCTCTATCTATCTATCTATCTATATTTGCAAAATAGGTTTCTCACTTCTCCTCTCCCCCCTTCGCCTCCCACCTCACCCCCCTCGACCCTTCTCCGTTGCCTTGAAATGATTTTGTGTTCACTTCACCCTGCCACCCAAGTCCGATAAACCTCTGCCGACAGGATCAATAGTTTCTGCGAACTTGATAGAAAATTAGGCAGGTTTAATAAACTTCATGCACGGCTTCCTATCCAGGCTGTAGATCAAAGGGGGAAAAAAACCACAAATATTATCGACTCGTTATCCCTTAGAATAGCGCTTTTCTATAAGTCACACCAGCACAATATTCCTCTCATTAAAAATGGTGATGAGAGTCAGGCTGGCATCTCATTGAAGAGCCGGCGGGCTGCGAAGGAGACCGAGGCCTCCTCACTGGGAGCCAGGAAATGACCTTGAAGGAGAAAATTCATGCATTATGCAAAACACAACCTGTCCATTTTCTCACATATTTTTCCTTCTACACCGAATGTCCGTAGTTGGTCGGAAAATATAATGCCGTGTTTCCCTGAAAATAAGACCCTGTCTATATATTTTTGTTTGCTACCAAAAAAGGCACTAGGTCTTATTTTCAGGGGATGTCATCCACTCACTAACCTCACTTGCACGCATCACCTCCGGCCTCCTTTTCACTGTCAGAGGCCTTCAGGAACTTCTTCTGTGACCAGCAAGGCTTTCCTGAAGGCCTCTGTAGCCAATAACAGAGCTTTGGATCGATCCAGAGCTTTCTTATCAGCTCCAGAGGCCTTCAGGAAAGCTTTGCCAGCCTTGCTGGCTGCAGAAGAAATGAACTGGCAAGGCAGGTGTCGGGGTGTGCCAGGCCTGGCTACAACTGTCCAAAGGTAAGTAGTAGAGCAGCTCCACCCCCCTATCCCCACCCTATCTTAATTTTTACCTGTGCACTCTGGAGTGGGCGGGATCTTAATTAGGGCTTATTTTGGGGGTAGGGCTTATACTGGGCACACGTGTCAAAATCAAGCTAG